ATAGAAGGATTCAAGCAAAATATAAAAAGACATCATCTTGAACTTGTCACCTCTAAAAATAGGTTATTCTCTCTTTTTAATTTTTTTTTAGGAAAATAGCATTCCAGCCTATTGGGCTTTTAAAAAACCAATCAGCAATGCTTCTGCTGTTTTCAATGTGAATCCACATCACTGTAGCTTATCCTCCTTCCTTCTTGTTTTTAGTGTCTGGCGGTCTTTGCAAGGTTTTTAAAAACAGTCAGTGGCGGATCTAGGATTTTTCTGAATAAAGGGCCATCAAGGGGCCACAATATTCTTAGAGGGGCCAAATATTTATTCAATATCTTTGTACACAAATCTCTGATTTTGATACAATGTATACATTTAACCAGTCACACATGTTCAAACACTTGTAATGTAATTAAAAAAAATCTTGCATGTACTATATTCTCCTTACAAGTTTTATGGGCATTTTTACTGTACATAGATCAAATATTCTCAAACACACAACATGGAAGAAAATCCAGTCGTTGTTAGTGGACAGACTTTTCCTGCAGGATTGTTCAAATCTTAAGAGAAGACGACATCTGTAAGCTTGATTCCTGCCAGACTTTCCTAGTTGACTCATTAGTGCATCTAGTGTTTGAACATGGAACTGCACCCACCATCATCACTCTTGGGCAAAGGACAGATGAATGACAGGACAGGGGCACTTCAGGGGCCCAATCAGATTTCATCTGGGGGCCAATGCAACTGTGGCCCCGCCCCTAGAACCGCCCCTGAAAGCAGTGGCATGTTTTCCTAGATTTGTCTGATGTAATTTAAGTGTAATTTAAGTGTTCTGTCAGTAAACAAGTAAAATAAGATTGGCAGCGGAAGAAGAGTTTACTTTTTATATTCATGCCCCCTCGTAACGGTCACTGCTTGTAATAAATTAATAAACTTCTGTGAGTGTTCGCACATAACAATTCATTGCTGCCCATAAAGTCACTAAAACGTCACCGGCTCTGCTGAACCCCACCCCATACCATGTGTTTGACCCCCCCAGCGCCCTTCCTTCCTTAGCTGCCTTGCACTGAGCTAGTATATTTTTTGAGCGTATGTTTCTGTGTTTCTGTGTAAACATAGGATCAGAGCATCTTTTTTTGAACTCATCATTCCTATTGTGTGTATTCCAAGCTGAAAAAGGTAATGCAACTCTCGTTGTGAAAGACCTTGGACATTCGTTCCCCCATGTTTGTTATGTGTGTCTTTCTCTGAACAGATGTTCTAAACTGCAATTTCATTCTGCATTGCATCTTTGATGTTGTGTGTAAATGACAATAAAGTTGATTCTGATTCTAAATCCAAATAGTATATCCCACTCACACACCCCTCCATCCTGCATTCCTGACCTCCCTGCAGAGGTATCAAGTATGAAGAACAAATACTTTTTTTGCTTAAGTGGAAATTTTGGTTGTTTATAGTTTACTGGAGTAATTATGTTTCAGACAACTTTTTACTTCGACACCTTACGTTTTCATTCAATATGTACATTTTAAAAATGAAAAAAAGTAATTCATGTCTATTTCAATTCGACTTGTTTTCAGTTTGGCTTGTCATCATTCAGAATAAAAATGAAAGAAAATACAACTATCTAGATACAGTATATGGTGCGTCTTTGATAAAGTACATTTAATTGTGGTTGGATGATAAATGTAGATATCTACCATTGGTTTAAAACCCACCACAGAGATTTATCTTGCACAACACAAGCTTGCCTTCAAGTTTAATTTAAACCACCGATGTTTTTAAATTAAGCACAACGGTCATTTCAGTCATCACACATCTTAGAAGGTCACATTTAAGTTATGTTTCTTGTGTTTAAAATTGCATCACGACTTACTCCTAGTAGCGTTTTGGCACACTGCGAGCACCTGCGAAAAAGAGGGTAATTATTTACTGCACAGTTCACTGTGCTGTAATTGGAAACTCTATTGAAGCTGTAAATACAGAACCCTCTCCTTTGCTGTCAGTGAGAGGGTTTTCTTTTTTTTAACACATTTGGCACGCTGCAGACATTATTTACCTGGCTTATTGTCAAGTTAAGATTCAGTCTCAAAAGGGCTCCAAAACTAGCAACAAGAAGTAATGGAACAGGAGACAACTACTGGACCAAGTTTCTTTCGTGTTCCGCTTCTCGGCTTACAGCAGTGGAAGGTCAATCGAACATCAGCAGCAGCTGCTGAGGAATGGTCAGCCACACATCTTGTTTACGATGTCGTGAAAGTAAATGGATTTGTTTGGATCTGCACCTAATTTGAAATGCAGCAATGAATCAGTCGGTTACAATGTAGCTGTGAGGCCTCAAACACCATCAAACAATAGGAACAGCTCCCACTGGGGTGTTTATTTTATTTTTTTACTGTATAGTTTCCAGTATTTTATTGCAAGATGAACTGCATCACAATTCTCAAAGTGGTCTCGTTTCATTGAACTCAACAAAGTTTAATCTCTGTTTTCATGTCTTGGCATGGTCATTATTTTTCACAAACGCAGTTGTGTTAATAGACAGCATGCCACTTTCCCATTTGATTTACAATAAGCCACACATAAACTCAGCAGGCCACTTTATTAGGTGCACTTTGTTAACTGAAAGAGACAGTGATCAGGATAGATAGTGACCAGTCAGACGAATGTAGCTTCTTGGTTTAATTTAGAATTGAAAAACTCTGAAACCTTCAAAAGATCTCAAGGGAGGCAATCATTGATGTGTTTATTTTACTTTTTTGTGTGTGTTGTCAATAAACATGACAGATCCAAATCCTTCAAATCTTTTTGAAATTTTTTACTTGCTAAATTTTTTAATGAGTTCAAGTGACTTTATGTGACTTTGATTGCTTCATGGTTGTTGGTGTCAGATGAGCTGGTGTGATTATTTCAAAAATAGCTTTTTCATTACATATTTATCATATCATAAAATAATGCATTCCTTTTAGTTACCTTTTTTTCAGCAGGTGGTGCTTGCTGAACTTGCTGAAGTTCAAATTAAATTTTAGTGACTGAATGGTGCATGCTTATTGGTGCCAGACGAGTTGGTCTGGCTATTTGAAAAACTACTGCTTTCCTGGGATTTTTACACACAACCATCTCTGGTGTTTGAAGAGACTCATCAGACCAGACAATGTTTTTCTAATCTATTTTTGTCCAATTTTGGTGAGCCTGTGTGAATTGCAGCCTTACTTTCCTGTTCTTAGACAGGAGTGGCACCCGGTGGGATTCTGGTGCTGTGGACTGTCTGCTTTAAGGTTCAACATGTTGTACATTCAGATTTGGTATTCTGCAGACCTTGATTGTAACGAGTGAGCTACTGTTGCCTTTCTGTACCCTCATACCTGACTGGACAGTCAGTCTCCTCTCACATCAATGCATTTTTGTCCACAGAAATGCTGCCTACTAAATCATTTTTATGTTTTGGACCACATGTTTTACACCCTAGAGATCTCTGTATGAAAATGTTAAAATTTGATCTGCAACAAATTCTCAGATTCTGCCAGTTTTAATTAGAACTTTCATTCTAACATGGTGATACATATTTCAGTTGCACTGACAGGACAGAACATGATGATCTGAGGTTGTTTAACTACTGTTATAAAAAGAATTGATCCACCTTATGCTGTACGGTCTTTGTGGAATCATGTAGAGTAGTTGCCACTCAGCAGGAAAGTTGCCAGTCTAATCCTGACAGCCTTAATAGCGTTTGCATGTTCTCTCTGTGCGTGTGTGGGTTTTCTTCAGGCACACTGGTTTCCTCCAGCAGACCAAAAACATGACTGTTAGGCTAATTGGTAACTCTAAATTGTCTTTAGGTGTAAGTGAGAGGATAAATGTATGTTTGTCTCGTTTGTCTCTATTTGGCCCTGTGCTGGACTTGTGACCTGTCTATGGTGCACCCCACCCCTCACACAGTATCTGCTGGATATAGACAACAGTGACCCTTGTGACCCTGAAGGAAGAAGCGGGTAGAGATATTGGATGGATGGAAAAACAGAAAATTCAAGTAGATCACCAGTTTCTGAAATAACCAGCTTGTCTGACACCAACAACCAGGCTATGTTCAGTTATGTAAATATGTTTTCTTCTGCAATCTATTGCGCAGTTTAAACGTTAACTAATCATTGTGAGCACGCCTAGATCCTAAATGCACTCAGTTGCTGCCATGCCATTGGCTGATTGGCTATTTGTGCTAGCAAGCAACTGAACGGGTGTATCTAATAACAGGTGTGCATGGTGCGTGTAATATCCCTATTCCATCAATCCATCCATCATTTCTTCCTGCTTCTTCCTTTAGGGTAACTGGGTCACTGGTGCCCATATCAGCAGTCACTGTGTGAGGGGTGTGATACACCTTGGAGTAGTCGCATGTCCATCACAGGGACACATAGACAGATGAGACAAACAACCATTCACACACTCATTCACACTGAGGGACAACTTAGAATTAACAATTAGCCTAACAGTCATGTTTTGGATCTGTGGGAGAAAACTGAAGTACCTGTAAAAAAAAACATGCATGGATGGAGAGAATATGCAAACTCTACCCAGAAAGGTCCCCAGCCAGGATTCAATCTGTCAACCTTCTCACTGAGAGGCGACAGCTCTACCAACTGTGCCAATGTGCCGCCCCCTCTCAAATTATTAAAGATATTTCTCTAAGTTACTCCAATATGGATTTTTCCTAATGTGTAGTTTTATAGAGCAAAGGTTATACTTCTTCATTATGTGATAAATTTGTAATCAGAAATATGTGATTTTTTATCACTTAAAGTTTTAATAAAACATGATAGTTTTTAGTGAATGTCTTGATATAAAATGATATGCATGCATATATAAATTATATATACACACCAATATATGTGTCTATACATAAAGTTATTCAGACTTGAACTGTAGCTCCATAGTATAATATTTATCATTGAATGAACTATTGATGTGTGAGTGTCATCAAACATTTAATACTGAGGTCTCCTTCTTATCTGCAGGTTAACAGGATTTACCATCCCCCCGCCTGTTACCAGTTCTGGCTCCATTTTTTCGTTGAGGCTTACCAGTGACTTTGCAGTAAGCGCTCACGGATTTAAGGTAACTTATGAAGGTAAGATCAGAATCGTTTTCTATTCTTTGGGTTCTATTGATATAAAAGACAACTTTTTTCCCCATAAAAATGCAGCTCTTTTTAAACGGGTCTTTATTTAAAAGAAAAATCTATCAAGCTGGGGAGGAGAGACCACCTATTCCGAGGAGAGAAAAGTGTGATCACACTTAGTCTGCCTGATTACCTTTGGGTCTTTCATTGCTGAGTTACGGAAACATTAGGTGCTTCAATTAAGCAAATTATTCCCATATTTTCCAAATCAACATCCCTCCCCTCAAAATTCTTGAGCCCTGTTTGCTCCTCCAGAGGTGCATCTTAAATTGCAAAGCAGATGGCAATGGGAATTAGTTGAACTAATTGATGTGCCGAGATAACTGTGTAAAAGCAAGGCTGTAAGCAGGAGGGATCTGCCTAAATATGAATTATCCCTCTGTGACCATCAGCTCTGCTTTTTGCCTGTCTGCTCTTTCAGGTGCAATCGTTTCCTCTTCCATCATTATTTTGGTTTTCCCATTCCTGTTTTCATTATCTGTTTTCTTTTCATCAATCTTCAATTTATGTTCTTGTTTGCGCTCTTACCTGCTCACTTGCCTTACACCAGCAGCTTCCCAATACTATGTTTTAGTTATTTCTTTACTTTCTGTTCTAGTTACTTAATCTTCTTCCTCACAAACAGGCTGACCCCACCTTCTCACCTCAATCGCCCTCTTTACATCCCTGTTCTCCCTTCTCATCTCCCCACCTGCCTCAGAACTAGTCGGTCCAAGACCTTTCCCCTTTTCATTTGCCCGTTTGTACACTTTCTGCCTCTGCTGAACGGTTTCTCACACTCCTGTCCAGTTTTATCTCTTTGTTTTCATCTTGACCATGTTTTCTACTTGATTTTGTCATTGTTAGCACAATTTCATTATGATTAGGAGAATACACATTTCAGTACACCATGTGGCATATGCATATTTCTGTTATTTAAATACAGAGGAGTTGTAGAAAAAATATTTTATAGTTTACTCTGTGGCAGTTTAGATGAGTTGTTGTGTTGTCGCTTTTAAACAGTGGGAGTCTGATTAAGGATTGAGCCAAAGCTCTGATGTGTCATCCTTATTCTGTCCCACTCAGTTTCTTAGGTCTATCACTTTTTTTTAACAGTCTGATATGGCAGCGCATTTTCCAGATTGCACTATAAATACTTACAAGTAGGAATTTAAATGCGTTTTAGTGATTTGTTCTTCTCTCTCTGAAGATTACATATTTTTGTTTGTTTTTAACAATCAGGTTGTATTTAAGGAGCTCAGACAGTAAGGATGTGTATGCATGGTGATGTTAAATTAGTGGAGGGCATGGTGCAGTTTTTGGTTTTTAAACGGGGACAGTGTAGCCTGGCCCTTGCCTTCCTACGCAGCTCCGCTCAATTCTAGTTTCCCTTCACTGCTCTGTCTGGGACTTCTCCCATTGACAAGGATTTCGCTGGCAGATTTTTAGCCGGGCCAATCAGAGAAGAGAACGTCAATTTTCTGCACAGTGTCTGCTTGTAGTTTATTTTACCTGGGCCAATCAGTAAACAGAAGGAGGAGTTATTGAATGACGTCGATGTTCTGCACAGTGTCTAGTTATTATTCAGTCAGTAGTTATTTTAGCATACAGCAGCAGAGGAAGTGAATGAAGCCGGTCTGTGTTGATAAGGCTTCCAAATTAAATTAAATTTGTCTGACAAAGCAGCAGCTCTCATTTACAGTCGTCTTGTTCGGCTTGGTACTTTTCTCGTATCAATGGGGTTGTTTACAGCACAGACGATTTCCGGTTAGCTTCTTAGCTTAGCCTCCTTCACACCGACAACACACACATGCTTTAGCAGAGGCCACGCCTCTTCCAAGAAACGCTTCTCTATGCAACAAGTCCAGACCCTTGTATGAAGCAAAGTGAAGGACAGGGTCTGGTTTTAACCAGGCTAGGGACAGTGTGAATAATGCATCTTTCTGTCATTTAGTTCCTGTAGTTTAAAACATTTTAATTATGTGCCACAAACAAAGTACAGTTTTCACCAGTCACATGTAGCACGAAGTGACGCTCCCCATCCCGTACCTGTTGCTGTGAATTGTCATGCAGTCATTATATGATGGCCAAAGAAGAGGTATTCCCCATAGTCAAATGTTAGATTTTATTTATTTATTTTTTGGAAGAAAAAAGCACAGATGGTCCTAAGTTGTGAAACAGAAGAGCAACACCTGTCTCCCTTTTTAGAGTAATTTCTTTTAAAACAAATGTTTACAACAAGTTTCAAGAGTTTGCATCCACTGGTCTAATGAACAACCCGCTGCAGGCCTGTTGTAAATCAGCTAATTACCCAGCTAGCATCAGCCTGTCAGGCTCCAAACTTTACTTTATAATGAACAACACAATAGGAAAAAGTAGTTTTCTGCACAGTAAGCACCTCACTTTAGGACAATAATTAAATTCATCTGGTGTTTATTCTAGAGTTACTGCTATAATTTAGTCAAATTTACAGATATTGAGCTGGAGTTTGATAGTGGCTGTGAGTCATCCTCATCACATACTCTGAGTGTGAACACAGTTTGCGAGCTTTCACAGTATCACAGAGGATTGCAGACAAATTAGTTTTAAAGATTTAACCATAACAGTTCTTACTCTATCGCTTTTCTGTATAAGATGAGCTTAATTTAAAACTTAAGTATGAAAGGCTTTGGGTGATATAAATTGTTTCAAGGAATAGACCTTTATTTAGTCAGCTGTCAACTTCATTTTAGTGCTGAGCATGTTAACGCGTTATTATCGCACCGATGCTTAACGGCGATATATATTTTAATGCGCATTAACGCAATTGTTTATTAGTGTTTCTACGTTGTATCTCTGTTCACTGGGCAGCAAACACACACACAGAGAGACATACAAACTCAGTGGACATGGCGGGGAGGCGGCATCTTGCTCAGTATTGGTTCAAATGGCCTTCGTCCAACGTCTCATCCAATGAGAGCCTTTGTTGTCGAGCCATTGCTAGGCAACTCGCAGCCACTGTCATGAACCCGACCACAGCCGAGGCAGAAACATGGTGAAAGTCATCGGATTCTTCAGGGCATTTTTTATAAAAAAAAAAAAATTCCCGACAGTGGGCTGTAAAGAACTGAAGTATTCTGTAAGCTCTGCAACTCTAACCCTTAATTTACACTACATGCGTTCCGGCTCCGCTCCAGTCTGGTCTGACCTCCGCAGCAAATACGCACCCATTGTAATCAAGCTGCGCCGGAGTCAATTTTTAAAGATTACGTCGCACCAACAGGAAGAGGAACAAGCACAACATCCGTATTTACAAAATAAGACAACATAATTTTGTCGAAATTGCAGCTATATTAATAAATATACGGATATATTTCTATACAAATGCTGTCAGAATGTATCGTTCTGTTTGGGAAGCAGATAGCAACATGTAGATGAAGCAAATGTGTACACACACAACACGTGTGGATTTTATTTTGAAATCAGAAGTTTTAAAAAGATGACTGTGAAACAGTTTCAACCATAGAAATCAAAAGCTTTTATATCAATGCTTTCAGCTGTGTTTGGAGTTCATCTTTCACAGAATCAGTAAGTTTTTGCTCTGACTTCCACATTTATCACTGGATTTGTCGTGTGATCTCCTTCCTGCACACCCTCCCTCTTTTTGTCTGTCAGACCGGAGCGGAGCGGAGGCTGTATAAATGTATGAATTAATAATAATAATAATAACAATCCATTAGTCTTATATAGCGCTTAAATTGGGTTGCAAACGCTGCGAGCTGTGCACCGCAGCGCATTGGAGTGGAGTCACATGTTGTGTAAATCTGGGGTGAACTGTCTCACCACCTGAGGAGTATGGGGTTGAAACATCACTTCAGTTTAAAACCAGCTTAAACGGGGGGAGGTTCTGCAGACAAGCCTGAGAGGCGTGTTG